ATATCAATATCTGAAGACTGCACAGTGCCACTGTCTCCTGTTGCACAAGTAGGCATGACCTCGGCACAGTCCAACACACATCCTACCATGAGACATGGCATATACTCAATTACCATGTTCAGGAAGGCATATACACCCAGGGGGGCTTGGAAGCAGAAAGAGTTATGTCATCATCCTAAGTTTCCATATCTGAAGGGTCCTCAGGAAGAAATACAGCACTAGAGGCATGGCTGTATTCATCCTTGGGCCAGAGATCAAGCAACCACTTCCATTTCTTAGGTGCCAGAGGAACAAAACATCCTTAGTTCTTCCTCTTAAATATTGTTATTCAGAAAGAGCTTTCCTAGTCAGACCAGGAGAAAAAGCCAACTGAAAAATAAGAAAGTGTCTTTTAACCTGGTTTTCTTAAAGTTCAAGAGTTAACCCAGAGCTTGTGATTCTGTCAGAAACTCATATTCTGATTCTCCATATTTACAGGAATTGGTTTTGGTTTTTTCCCCCCAAAAATCTACTGGTAAGTACAAAAGCTAGAGGAGTAAGAATTCAGAATGACTACATGGACTACATCTGGCACCAAAGCTGGATTTTTACAGCATTTCCTCTGCAACATTTACAATAACTAATTGCTCACTTGAATGTTTACAGAAGCTCCTCACATGTCATTGCAGGCAAACCACAACTTCACATTTAAACAGCATCAAAATGCTTGATACATGCCTGTGTCTTTCATAGGTCATGCAATCAATTCCATTCCTTCTTAAGTATGTCCAAGGGCTTTTAAGTGTGTTGGATATTTTCCTTCTTCTGTGCTTGTCTAAACTGGAAATGTTTACTAACTTCAGTCCTGATTGGTAAACTAAGGCCCTCCAGATTCCCAATTATTTCTGAGAGTTCCCTCCTAAACTGAGACTCTTCTCAGCACAAGTTAATGATGTTGTGAGAGTGTCATGGTATTTAGCTCTCCCTCTCTAGTTATCTTTACCTTTTTGGGGGGAGGGGAAGCAGGCAGGTTGCCAGGCCCTTGAACAAGCTCTGTGCCTCATGGTTACTTTAAGCAGACTTAGGCTCAGGCTGCCATCACAGAAAAAAGCCCTGGATTCCCCACTTTGGTTCCCAGTTGTGCTTTCTGGCCTGTGTCTTCCCTTGCAGCCCCTGAGCAGCAGGTGCATGGCACTGAGGAACTGACACGGCCAAATTCTCTTCAGACAGGTCAGTTCAGTGCAGCTTCTGCGCTGGACCACTGTGTGGTTGTAGGGATTGCTTGCTACTTTTTTGCAGCTATCATCACTTATCTTGGAGTTAGTTATCCACATTGACATCAATGTTCAATTTTACTTCTCCCCTCAAAAGGATTGTCCCACTTCTGTCAGGTCTAGAACACTTAAATGAAAGCCACTGTATCCCTATTTGTTAGGGAAGTAGTCACCTATGCAGTACGAAAAATCAAAACTATAAAATGTAATTTAAAATATGTGTTACTAATGCATAAACAATCATCTTCTTATCACAGACTTAGAAAGTGTAGAATGGTTTCAAACTGCCAACATCCCCATAGAATGTTTTTCAAGAACACAGCTTTTATTGAAACTTCACTTGAGTTTCAACTACAAAAACATGACAGGTTATGTTAGCCCAATCCTACCTTACATCACACTAAGGTTAATCCTCCACTCAGCTCCCTGCTGCGCAAAACTCAAGAAGTGTGCAGGGGTGTGCTTCAGACCTGCTCGTCGGAAGTCCTCCTGACTGAACAAATACACTGGAAGTAGTTGTTGTACAAAAGTATGCAGTCATGCACATACCAGTGCTGGTATTTTCTGAACTTTTATCCAGAGACAGGTCTCACTTCATTCTTTTCCCCTCGTGTTTCATTAGATCAGCTACAGATTTTGCTTAGGCTGGCTGCAGATTCTGTTTTGACCCAATACATCTTCGGACACTCCCTATTCCACTTCAGTTATACAAACACCCTCTGACCCAGCCCTCCTGAAGTAGTCACAATAAAAAACCCATTTCCTGCCCCTCCAACCTGTTGAGGTATTTTTAGTTGAAATTGAATGCACATACCTGTGGCAGGTGAGGCACCAGTGAGAATGTGGGTGTGGTGAGACCTTTGCTTTCCTAGTGCCAAATGCTTCTGTGGCTTGTCATTCCAAATCAAGGGAGGTGGCCAGCTGTCTAGGAGTCACTCCTCTCAAGGCGGCTCTGTAACCTTTCACAATGAGCAGCTCTACTTCTCTCCTCCAATATTCTTGCAACTGCAGAGGAGGAATAGAGAATCTTTGACCCCATCAAGGGGCAAGACTGCTGCTGTTGCAGCCTGCCATATATGAAAGAACACAGAGAGATGCTACAGACTCCAAGAAGCTATTAAAGCAAGCATCATGCTACTTCTGAAGGGAAATTACTCTGCCCTACCTCCTCCAGCAGTCATGTGCCCTTCACATCACCTTACAAGATTGGTTCAGGGCTGACTATGCATCCCATCCATTACATAGCTGGGAATAATACTCAAGAGCTTTTCCAGGGTCCCAGGACCCTCAGAAGGATTTAAGTTTCCTTTGTTGATACTGGAACCAACCCTGTCCTGCTTGTGAAGAATAAGAAATTTTGTTCAAGCACCCAGCAGGACAGAAGACCAGTTGGGGGTGTTCCCTTGCTCTGTGGGCAACAAGCATTTGCATCCCCACCCACAAAGCTCACTCATTTTATTCCTCTCTCGGGTACATTCTAGGGCTGTATCCTCTTACCTGTGGGGTTTCCTACCAAATGGCCCCACAGAATTACTATGTGGTCTATCTGGACTTCAGCAAAACCTTTGCCACTGTCTCCCATAGCATACTCCTGGAAAAGCTGGCAGCCCACGGCTTGGACAGGGGCACCCTGTGCTGGGTTAGGAACTGGCAGAAGGGCCAGGCCCAGAGAGTGGTGGTGAGCAGTGCTGCATCCAGTTGGCGACCGGTCACTAGTGGTGTCCCCTAGGGATCAGTGTTGGGCCCAGTTCTATTTAATATCTTTATTGATGATCCAGATGAGGAGATAGAGCATACCATTAGGAAATTTGCAGATGACATCAAGCTGAGGGGGAAGTGTTGATCTGCTGGAAGGCAGGAGGGCTCTTTGGAGGGACCTGCACAAGCCAGAGAGATGGTCTGATTCCAGCGGGATGAGGTTCAACAAGGCCAAGTGCTGGGTCCTGCACTTTGGCCACAACAACCCCCTGCAGCGCTACAGGCTGGGGACAGAGTGGCTGGAGAGCAGCCAGGCAGAAAGGGACTTGGGAGTTTAGATTGACAAGAAGCTGAACATGAGCCATCAGTGTGCCCAGGTGGCCAAGAAGGTCAATGGCATCCTGGCCTGTATCAGGAACAGTGTGGCCAGCAGGATCAGGGCAGTGATTCTTCCCCTGTACTCAGCACTGATGAGGCCACACCTGGAGTACTGTGTCCAGTTCTGGGCCCCTCAGTTCAGGAAGGATATTGAGGTCCTGGAGCAGGTCCAGAGAAGAGCAATGAGGTTGGTGAAGGGACTTGAGCACAAGTCCTATGAGGAGAGGCTGAGGGAGCTGGGGTTGTTCAGCCTGGAAGAGCTTCAGGGGAGACCTCCTCACTCTCTACAACTACCCGAAAGGAGGTTGTAGCCAGGTGGGTGTTGGTCTCTTCTCCCAGGCAACCAGCAGTAGGACAAGAGGGCATGGTCTTAAGTTCTGCCAGGGGAAGTTTAAGTTGGATATTAGGAAGACATTTTTTACAGAGAGAGTAATCAGACATTGGAATGGGCTGCCCAGGGAGGTGGTGGATTCATGGTCCCTGGAGGTTTTTAAGATGAAACTGGATGTGGCACTTAGTGCCATGGTCTAGTAACCACAGCAGTGTTGGATCAGGGGTTGGACTTGATGATCTTGGTGGTCTTTCCCAACCCGGCTGATTCTGTGATTCTATGTTGAAATTTCTGGGCTTCCACTCCTGCCTCTCTGTGCTAGGACCCACGGAAAATACACATTTCCTGCTCTACAAGAATGCTCTTAGCAGTCAACATATCCAAGATTTGTTAATTTACTATCTGCCACTGATCTTGGACAACTTTAGAGCTATCAATCATGAAGATATTTGGGAGATTTGAATAAACTGCTACAAAATAAAAAGGACTAAGTGAGAACTGGCACTCTTCTTGCACCAGAGAGTATGTCTGTTCCTCATGAAGAAACAGACCCATGGTTTTTGGATTTTTTTGCAAAATGTGCTGCCTCTAACAAAAGCATAAAAGCATTCTGACTAGCATACAAGTGTATACTAGATTTATCCTGACAATGTGAAATAACCACTGTGCTCATCAACTACTGCAATAGTTTCTACTTTCAATCTAGATCTAAAAAAGACTATTGTGAACATTGTTTTTCACGTAGCAGAAAATCCAGTTTATGAGTTGTTCTAATGGACATTAAATTCTCATGTTGAGTGATATAGAGGAGCTTTTCATTCTTCTCTGCCCACCAGTAGAAACATCCAGCTTGAAATTTTTTATTGCCAATGAGAACTAGCACTAACCTGGTTAGATATGAAGGTAAGTACACTTATCCCATTCTTGCAAGAGTCTACTTATATGGCACGGAACTCTGCCTAACAGAGAAATAACTAGGGAAACAGAACTTCTATGATACCCGTTTTTCTTTACCACCCTGCTTGTGAGCAGCTTTCCTATGCTAATACCCCCCTCTTGTGTTCGTTTATAAGTACTACAAGAAACAGCAGCAAAAACCCCACCCAAAACCCAGACCTTTCCTTGTATCATGTCAATCATTACAGATTCTGGATGGAATTCCAAGCAGTGAATCGCCTCCTGCCAAAACTGATGCTCCCGTGCTGGGCCACTCTTCAGCTGACATATCTAAGGTATTGATGTCACATGTGAATTGCTAAGATTGACCTAAGAAGAAAACCTGGCAGAGCAAATATACAAACTGAACAAAACAGGTCAATGACAAGACAAGGAGAACCAGGTAGCTTTAAAATTAACCAAAATATATTTGGAGTTCTCCACATAACACATCCCTGTGAAAACTCAGTCACTTCTTTTAACTTTTTCTGACAGATCTATCTGACCCCAGATGCACTCAGTGAGATTGGGTAGTGAGACAGGCTGCATCAATGCAAAAGCTGCAGTCACACTGCGCTTCTTTGTGAATGAGCAGGGCCAGACCACAGCTGCTTCCAGGTCCAGAGGTGACAGTCTCTAATGATGTCTCTGAACAGAAGACTGGCACTATGGTACCACAATGGTCCAAGCTCAGTCTATAGCTGGTAAAGCAGAAGAGAAGTTGTTTTCCTCATGGACCACCCAAGTTCACATGTAGTTTTGAAAAAAAAATCCACTGGAGATAGCTTGGTAGACCATTTTTGCCAGCTCATATAGCCATGAAGAGAAAAATAAAAAAGTCTGTTTGAATACCGAACTAGAAGGCTTTCCTTTTCTTCTTTTTCCCACCTGCCACCTTATTCCTGACACCAATAGCTTCTTCTGTGTCATCATCATTATCATTCCGAGATCGCTTCTTCTCTCCCTGCTCCCGCAGCTCCTGCAATGCAATCAATAGATTGACCAAGAGTTCTGGCACCTGAGGAAATTCAGATTACAACAGTGAGCAGAGGGACAAAAAGTCAGCACCCACCATTCGAGCAATTCTCTGGGCCTCAGCCACACGCTCTGTCAGCATCATAACTTCTTCCTCTTGCATGGGGAACGCTGGCAGCTTTTTGCCAATCAGGTGTTCGATGCGCTGGAATAGCTCCACATCATACCTGCGAGAAGACAAGACACCAGATTGAATCAGCCCTCCTGAGAGTGCTTCAGCTGTCACCATTCATAGAATTCATCCTTTCTCTCCAGCCCACAGATAGATTGTGCTGATGGTCTCACAAGCAACTCAACTGCATCTGAATGATGACATTGTTTGGGGTGGCTTCTCTGATTTATTCAGCTCGTCTCTGTTCAGAAGGATTTGAAAAAGACTTCAGACAAACAGTTCAGTAATTATAAACACCCCCTGCAGCTACTTAAGCTGTACTATATATTATAAAAACGTATGTATGTATAACAATTCAGTTATAAACAGTTCTGCTCATTACATGACTGCTTCTAGAATTTCTCTAGACCTTTCTCCCTCCCCACAACTGGGCTTGGAATTCTCTCCCCTTTAAGTAAATAAAACCAACTGGCACCTCAAAACGAAAAGTAGTATTTTCTTCTCACCCAGGATGAGGTCAGATATTTTCTGCTCTGAAATAGAGCTGGAAAGAATAAGTCTGCCAAATTTTAACACTTACTGTGTGACAAAGGTGATAGATTTGCCAGATCTTCCAGCTCGAGCTGTTCTCCCAACACGATGAATGTAATCCTGAAAACGATTTTCTTGGTAAGCAATAAGATATGTTCACCAAACACAGAACAGATGTCATGGCAAATCAGCCTACACAATTATTCTTTAGGAAAGAACAAGAAAATGGGGAGAAAATACTCCAGGATTAAGCACTCAGGACCATGTGCAGCATCAGAATTAGAGAAGATGCTGGCTTGCTGCGGCGTATCTTTGGTTTTAACATTTGAATTCTTCTCTTTCTAAAGGTGAAGACCAACTCCATTTATTCCAGACTGCAGGACAAAAGTTGCAGTACATGACTTTGCTGAGACTTCACTATCACTTCCTTGGAAAGGTAATATTCACAGTGAGCCCATGCCTGCATTTTCAGTCTTAAGATCTAGTGCTCGACATAGTCTATCTTCCAGAGACACTCTCGGACAAGTAGACTTAAATTTGGCAAGCACAGTGAAAGGGAGGGTGATTGAGAATAATTTAGAAGAGCTTGAGCGTCTTCTGTTAATACGGTTCTAGGCTGTTCTCCAGGTTTTATACTGCATTACAGAAATTAAAATACTCCCTTCTCCATACAGGATCTGTGGAGAAAGAATCACGAGAAAGGACGTGTTCTGTGACAGGGCTAGATGAGAAAGAAGAGCACAGAAACTGTAATAACATTACTTAAGCTGCTGCCACCTCCATTTTTTTTCCTTATGTTTGTCCTTTTACAACACCAAAAGTAGTTCTTTGAAAGATCATGCTTTCTTCTGTTTGCAAGGTATAGTATCTTCAATCATTGTAAGCAACAATAGCAATTCCTGAAATGCATGTTAATGGTATGCTTTCTGGAACCGGGCTGGGAAAGAGTCACACCCTTGATATAATCCTATACTTTCTATAAGACAGTTAGTAACTCACTTTCTTTTCAGTTTGCTGTACTTCTGTGATATGAAGGTGAAACATAATGTAAGTCACCTTTCTTGATCAAATGCTCATTGAACATAATGGGAGAATGTTTTTTTTTTCTTTTTTTTTTAAACACAGTTTAAAATATGAAGGCAGACCTGGATCACAGGAACACATGAGACTAATAATATGTCTAATAATAATAAAACTGTTTTCAAGGCTCTTTAATGCAATATGGCAAAACGCATACCCCGAACAGAAACGCAAAGACACAGAATGTTCGTCACTTCCCCTCTTCACGTATGGGATCGGTTCTACAATCCAGATGAGGCCATCCAACCAAACTGAGATACCAACTCAACTGCAGAGGTTGAACTACACCTTCTAATCTACAGAAGTGTGAACTAGGCTTCCAATCAGAAGAGCAGAAAAAAGACGTCTTTGTTCCTTTGTCTACCTTCACTATGTCCTGGTGGCCAGAAGCTCTCAGCAGACACACAGACAAGCTTACCTTAGAATGCGTAGGGATATCAAAGTTTATCACCACATCTACATGGGGTATGTCCAGACCTCTGCTTGCAACATCAGTAGCCAGCAGAATAGAACGTGCCTTTGCCTTGAACTTGTTTAGAGAGCCCAAGCGTTTGTTCTGGAAGAGGACAAAAAGGGAACGAGAGAGTAACACTCATTCTAGTTAATATGCTCTTGTTGAAATACCGGCACAAAAGAACCAGGGGAGAAACTACTCAAAAATCTCACTTCTCTAATTTCTTTTTGAAATATTACAGAATCAGTGGCAGCATTCACATTAGTTAAATCTTTAGGGATCAGTCTAGTCCACTAGCTGTGAAGTACTCCTTCTGAAAGGTAGCTGTGACTCAGTATGGTGCTGCCCATTTCCCAAGCCACAAGTTTCCTGTCTGCTCCATTCTGTGGGGTAATGCCCATACCTGACTCATCTGCCCATGGAGAGGAATGGCAGTGAAACCCAGGTTGCGGAGCAGTAGAGCAGTCCTTTGAGTATTGTTACAGGTACTACAGAATATCATGAAAGAGTTACCAGCTAGTTCATTCAAGATATAAACCAGGTAGCTGTCCTGTAACGAAATAGAGAGAGAATTTACCAAAAAAAAATAATAATCACATGTACAACATTAAAGACTAAGTCTAAGCCACAGAAGATGACCAGATACTGGGCAGGTGTGGGAAAAAGAAGACAAGACATAATGAGAAAAGGGAAGAAACAGAAGTGGCATTACCTTAAATTTTGAGGGGATGAAAATGTAGTACTGCTGTAGTTTTTCAACTGTCTGATACTTGGAAGAAACAGCACATTTAACAGGATTCTTCAGAGCAGCACGCTGGAGTTTTTGAACCTGGTAAGATCAATGTAAGTTAGCACTGGATGGACAGAGATCTTGTCAGAAACCTGTATTAATACAGTTTAGTCAACAGGATAGCCTGATGGAAGAACTAAAGCAGAGTACTCTGCTCTCACCTTCTTGGTCATGGTGGCAGAAAACAGAAATGTCTTCCTGTCTCGAGGAATCACTTTTAGTATCTTATCCACCTGCAAAAAAGAGATAAGGAAATGGGAATACTGAATATTATGAGCACCTAAGACACAAGCGTCCCCCAAATATAATGATCATCCACATGAAGAGTAATGCATGTGCAGATATACAGTAGGAACAAATTTTTCCTCTTCTAAAGGGAAGGTGTAGGCTGATAGCTTGTTGACAATTAGGCAGTGTGAATTCCAGAAGTCCAATAACAGTGCAAATATCAGGCAAAGTTTCTGCAGGAATGTGTGTGTGATTGCGTTCTACATTAACTGCATCCACATCAGGCACTCCAGAGAAATCAGTAGATTTCAGAGACAAAATGCCTCCTACTGTCTTGGCAATGCTCTGCAGAACTCCCCTATGTTCTACTCCCACCACAGAATTTCGTGCAGCTATCAGATCCTAGTTACAATTTGCTCATAATTTCTGGAGAACAGCTCAGTGTTTGCTATGTGACTGTATGAAGAGATTTTAAAGAGACTCATCTGGTGTTCCAAACTCTTTCAGCAGATTCCTACCTCTGTCTCAAAATCCATGTTAAGAATCCGGTCAGCCTCATCCATCACTAGGAATTTCAGAGCACGTAAGTTAAAGCCCTTTGTGTTCTCCAGATGATCGACCAGACGGCCAGGGGTTGCTACCAACAACATCACGAGAGCAAATTGAATTAAAGCAAAGGAAAAGAAAGATCCAAACAGGCAAGATAGTAATTCATTACAGAAATGGGATTCTTTGCTCAAGAAAAGTAAAGGCAGATTGCTTTGTGGGAATAACTCTTTCATAGGACATCTTCAGAGAGTGTTTTGAAATAAGACTAATGGAGTCAGACCCTCAGAAGAATGTCCTCCCCTTAAAAAAACACAACACACAACAGACCGTAAATGAGCTACACTGTGAAGGATGAGACCAGGATTTGAAATACTTGAGGAGAATGAAAAAACAAGTCAAAGGAGGTCTTGCAGGAATGCTTTGGAATGAGCTTGTAGCAACAAAGTTATTGGTGTATACTTCAGAAACATTAGCAAACCAATACTGAGATTTCAGGACAAAAGCAAATGAAAGATGTACTCTAACAAAACCTTCTGGCTGTCTCTCTTTGGGTAACTGCAGTTTGATAATATTAACACTCCATATCCCCCGCACATTAACTTACCAATTATAACATGTGGTTTCTTGGCTAAGGCCAGAGATTGAGACATTGTGTCAATTCCACCCACAATAACAGCTGCAGGACAAACAGAATATAGTGAATCCCTCAGTGTAGCACCAGTCAGCCACAGGCACTATAGTGTTTGCTCCTACTCCTCACCATCCACAACTCTGAACAAATGAAAGACTACTTATTTTTATGAGAATTTATAAGAATTCACTTTATTTTAGCATACCTGACCTTCCCAGGCCTCTTATGCCATACAATTAAGTCCTTACTTGCCCCAGGTATTTTATTTTCACAGGCAGAATCTATTCCTTGCACCTTAACTCAGCTAGAAAAATCTAGAAATTCTAAAAATACCCATAAAGCTATTATTAGTAGTAGTAATATAATAATAACAATAACAATAATAATAATAATAATAATAATAATGAGAGTATCTAAAGAATCCATACAGACAGTCTGAAAGAAATATTAAACTACATCACACTACAGCAGGGAGCTCTATGCAATTTCACTGGACACAAACCTAATATTGAGAACATTCTCTTCTACTTCTATCTTTAACTGTTTAGACATAAAATGCAGAAGAGCTGCAGATTCCTCCTTGAGGAAAGGCCATAGAGTCTTTCTTTTGCAAACCTGATACCAGATCTCTGTCTTTCAGCATCACAAGCTTTTCTTACTTTTTGTTCAACCCTCCATACAAATCCTCTATTTTTAACTTTGCAATCCTGACCTGACTAACTTTAGTCTTCAGGAAAACTGGTCCAATATTAGTAAGTTACTCACTAGTTTGGACACCGATAGAGGATCCGAGAGCTTCAAACTGCTCTGAGATCTGAAAGGCCAGCTCCCTTGTTGGTGTGAGGACAAGAGCAAACAGCCGCTGAGGTGTTTCCAGCAGTGCTTGAAGAATTGGCAAAGCAAAAGCTCCTGTTTTTCCAGAGCCAGTTTCTGCCAGTCCAATGACGTCTCTGCCTACAAGAAGCAGCAAGGAAGGCAAAAAACTGTTACACATCTAGAGCAGAGAAAGAAGCCTTTAAAGTACTATGCAATAAAGCACAAGGATTCCGTAAGGACAGAGAAAAAAAGGAAGACACACAAGGTAAAAAAGAACAAGTGGTCAAACCAAAGAATTTCAGAGCAATTCTGAAGCATTTTTAGACTGTGATTATACTTGTACAATAATTACAGTCTCAATACTCAATTCTCTAGTTAAACTTCTGCTAATATACAGTGTTTCATACGAACTTTAAAATAAGCTTTATTTTATGATGTCTCAAATCTGCCTGTCAATTTACAGCTTAATGGCTCTGTCTTGATATTCTAGTCCAAACACTGTCTGTTTACTGGCTTACAAGGAAACAGACTCCAGTGTCTGATACTCTGGCACAGGAACTACATGACAACAGCACTACCAAACTCACATTTCACAAACCACAACTATGCCATTGATTAATGAATCTAAATCAGTTTGCAGCAGGAAGGGTTAGAACAAGTCCTTTGCCCAAAAATTGTGCAGGCAACAGGGTGGAATTCATCAGTAGAATCCATTATGACCTCCTGAGCTTGTACAGCTCAGAAGAACATGCTACCAACAGGCCTTACACTGGAGACAACTTCTCAGGAATGCAGTCTTACTTTTGGATGGTTTTATGCCTTTTTTCCCCCCAGAGAACCTTATATGTGGAATAAAAGAGTCTGACAACAGTTAAGTACTAGGACAGAGTAGATACTGAAAGTTTGTTCTCGTTCTGTCACTACATTGTTCTGTTCCTGCTTCACAGTATTTTAGGGGCTTTTGTTTTAAAATAAAACGCTTCTAGAGGCAGAAATGTTTGCTGAATTCAGTAATTTATTTTCTTTTAATTCCAGGATGCTTAGAGAAAGTCACTGTAGTTTGGTTATGACTCACTACAGAAATCTAATTTCAAAGAATTGCCTGCTCACAGCGAAGCAGATCATACACGCTACGGAATCAGCCAAGGTATCTCCAGTTTCAGATGCACACACACACTGTAGGTCTCTATCAGAAGAGACACAGTCCAAAACCTATCGGAAGATTCCTGCATACCCTTGGGTATTTCAGAAAGAAAACGATCAATTCAGACTAACAGTTCAAATGATTCATAATAATCCTATTTAACACAGAGTGTCAGAACTACACAACAAGAGTGAACACTCAAGAAATCATGTTTGTACGCACTTGAAAGTTTGGATTGCAGGGAGTTTTATAGGATAAACTAGTATTCCAAGCTCCACCTGAGTAGGGGACAGAACGAACACAAAGACTACTTCTAAACAGAGATCCTCAGTGATGGAGAAGCTGGGACACTCTCATCCCTGACCCTTCTCACTCAGCAAAATTCATTCACATAGAGCTCCTGGGACATTCCCTGATTCAGCATCAAAGAAGCACACTGCTCACCTTGGAGAGCCACTGGAATAGCCTCAACTTGGATCTTCGTTGGCACCTTCCATCCTAACTGGTCACAAGCTTCACACAGCACATCTGTCACTCCCTGCACATTAGCGAAAAGAGAAAAGAGAAACAGACATCCCCAAGGAGACATAAATTAAATCACAGACTAAAGTTAAATACATGCTGCAACAGAGCCAAGCTTGTCTCTAGCACAAACCAACCCCATCAGGCCCCCAGTTCAACCACCTGAAAGGTCAGGCTGCCCACAGTGATCCCCACCTCCACCGGTAGCTTCATAGGATTTATTCAAAACAGTTAGAGAGGACTGTCATTGGGAAGAAAACAGTCCGTTTACCCTAGTTAACACAGGGAACTTTACACACACACACACACACACACACACACACACACACACAGAGAACTGCCTCTCTTCATCTCAGGGGGTGTCCCATGGGCACGGGAAACGAAAAACGCCAGGGCAAGTTAACAGAACTGAAAATACAGGCAGCTGCCTGAGGAGCGCTGATCGGAGCAGCAAGGCCAGCCTGTCCCGGTCGGCGGCGCGACTCCCCACCCCTCCTGCCCGGGAACAGCACCGCTGCGCCCGGATCGACTGCCCGCACGTGTCCGCCCGCCGCGCACACGGCGCTGCGTGGGAAGCTCCCCACGGCCTGAGCTGCGCGCCGGGGGCGGGACGCTGCTCCTCGGGACGGGAGAAGAGCACCGGGCGCAGAAGCGGCTCTGTCCCAGCCTCACCAGGTCCTTGAAGCTCCGCAGCTCTTCCACCACCGCCTCTGACTCGGTCTCCGTCCCCGCCGCCGCCCCCTCCTCCTCTCCCCCGGCCATCTTGGACCGTCCCCGCCGTGGCGGCGCAGAGCACGCTGGGAGCTGTAGTCCTCCTCGGGGTGTGATGGGATTTGTAGTTCCGAAGAAAGAGCCCGCCGGAGCGGGCGGATTTACCCTAAACTCCGAGAGGTCTCCAGGGAAGGGGGAGTTACGGATCTACAGGCACCTGTCCTGGGATAAGGGCACGCTGAATTGGCTGTATGAAAACGTTCCTGCTCGGCATTGACCGCAAGCTCAGCGCTGCACTGCTTAGGCAGTGGGTGATGGTGCTCTGTGCTCACACATTCTGCAGCTGGGAAAGAGCAATGCAAAAGGAGCTGCTAAATATACAAAAATACAAGAATATATATAAACTTACATATGTAAGACGTATAAAGAGCAAATTAACTTCTTCAGAAGCGCTGGTATGAAAAATTTTGAAGCACTAGAGAAGGGAAAAAAGAAAAGAAATGTCATTATCCCACCTCGTTTTCCTGTTTATGGTAATTGGCAGTGTGAATTTTCGAAGTGCCAGAAATACAAAATAAAGTGAACTATGGCAACTCACAGCATAAAATGAGAGAATAGGGGATGGGAGTAGATGTAAACACTCTCCCAGCTCTCTTGACCACTGCTGTTGTGACTCAGGCCTGCAAGCGCACAGTGAGAGGTGAAAAAGGTGATGCATTTATTGACCTTCCAGGGAGTGCAGCATCAAAATATCATTTCTTGATGGAAGTTTCTGGGCTCATTGGTTTTCATGTGCTCTGGGTGTAGCCTCTGATCTGTGTCCCAGTGCTGATTGCAGCAGGGCAACCTTGCAGCTAGGTGAGTTTCCTTTGTTTTAGGGAAAAGAAAGATAATCTATGCAAGAGCTCAGGCTTCAAAAGGACAGCAGAGCTGGCTGCAAAATGAAACTCACGACTGAATGTCTGAGCAGGCCTCCCTCTCTCTGGGAAGGCTGTCTGGGTGTGCTCTCAGTGGAAATGCTGATGTACTTGGGCATGTGTCACTGGATTCCGAGCGTGGCATTTCCTCTGCTCCCAGAACAATGCGGAAAGTGAGAGAAGATATGAACAAACTCTCTGCATGACAGGGAAAGGAGAGGAAACCTGAAACAATTCATGGGCAGGAGTGGAATGAAACTTCTGCATCCCACTGTGCTCAGGAGCAATGATTTTAAAATAATAAATTAAAACAAACAGCAATAAGCACCCCGTGTAGATGCTAGTTGTGACCACGTTTCAAAAATTACAGCAGTCTGAGCTATGAACTTGCTATATATCATTAGTGCTAAAGGCTGAGCCTGGCCAGTACTTTGACATGAACCCTTGTAAGGGTCACTGAGATGCCTCAGGAAATGGAGTCAGGGATGTGACAGGAAGTCACTGCTTGTTGAACTCATTGCCCATATAATATTATGCTGTTGTGGTGGGGAGCAGGGTGGAGGAATTTTATTCTGGTGAAATTCCAGTTTATGTAATTCCCTTTTGTAAATAGATATGTTTGAATGAGAGTTTTCTCCTGTCCTAAACTGCTGTTGGGAGCATTCACGTGTGATAAAATATATATGCAACTTCTAAATAGTAATTCCCTTTTTGTGCTTTTCAGCACAGGAAACTGTAGATTATACAGGATTTAGAAATTTTCACTCCAGGGCTTTTAAGCTTGGCTTTTGACCAAATATGCTCCTAGCTCTATTGCATGTTACAGCTCAGTCTTCCTTGGGGGGGACAGGGTGAGAGCATCTGCAGCAGACGAATTTTAGTGCAGATACAATGTCAGCTATTTCATGAGGGGTGCATAATAAGACAAGATGGACAGTGTGTACATTAGGTCACTGTTAATGGTAATTGGTCCTATCAACCCACTGAAATTCCCAGAGAGACGCTATTAGGATATTCTGGTGAGGAGGATCTGACCACCTCCTGCCCTATCTGCTGACAGATCAAGTGTAGCTCAGGTGTGAGAGTGCAGCCTTAGATTCACAGCAACACCTGGCTTAGAAGGTGTCCAAGAGCACTGGACAGGTTTTGGAACAAATTAAGTCTCGCAGCTCCTCTGTTTTGTGTAGGATTACAGATTGTCAAGCCCATGGGCCCCACTTTCTGCCTGAGCCTCCCTTTGGATTTTCATAGCAAACAAACCTGGAGAGGGGAGTGGCTGAGACCCGGCCGAGGAGAATGTGGTACCTTGAACTCAATTACACTCTCATAGCAGCACTGTGCAACAACCCAAATCCTGACTTGGAGTGAACAATTAGCCTTGGGAAAAATTGAACAGAAGCATGATTGTTTGCCTTTGTGGCTGAGAATGGAAGCAAAAGTATCTGATTTGTTCTCAGCTGCAGAAACAGTGGCTGTGATTGCAGTGCAGGACTGTGCTGAGCAGAGCAAACCAGCCCTGGTGAAGCTCTAAGCTATCAAATGCAAATCCCTCTGCCTATCAGATTAGTTCATTCAGAGCTGTTCTTGTGTTGTTTCCTGTGTGGACAAAACTGCACTGCCAGAAAACTAGGGAGCGGGTAGGATAAGTATATGTTACATAATTTTCTCTGTGATGATAAAACCAGCCATCTCAGAAGCATATTAAGGTTGTAACTGATCTGATGGAGTTAGTTGGTGATAAGCTGAAGCATTAGGAAAAATTTTGCATTGTGTCTGCCTTGCATAGTGTGCAGTTCACACTCCAAAAACACACTTATGGGCTGACATGGAAGTACCTCAGTGTTTGCATGTCAGAGACCAACATCCACAGTGTACACGGGCAATGTGCATACCAGCATATGCATTCACACAGACATAAAAACATACACTCATACACAAATGCCAGCTGTGTGTGGCATGGAGCTGATGACCCCACTCTTCATCCTTGCCTTCTGAACTGCTCATATTGGTCCCTGGCTTCAATGCCTGGAGCATGAATGTCAGTGCAGAGAGACACTGACACAAAAGTGCTTCATATTCAATTCATTTAATCGAATCAGCAGTGTATGTGTTCATTTCTGGTAAACAGGCACAGGTATTACAAGCATCTGAGTCACACTCTTAGAGACCAAAGCTTTTATTCTTCTGATGTATGAAAACAAATGTTGATGTAACGAGAATAAGAGACAAAAAGGGCAAGGATTCAAGCTTTGTGAGATGGAGTCTTGCTCTTCCTAAGACTTTATGTAGGGTTACAGAATTACATAGCGGGTTCTTCTGATCATTTTAATTCATGCCTGTGCAGGGAAGTTTCTCTTATCCACTGGGGCATGCTTCTGGAGGTGGAGTTAGCTCTGCATTAACTCTTTTAGTTGCCTCAAGCTAATTTCAGGGTCTCTTCCTTGTACCTCTTCCAGATACTGACATGATCCCCATCATCACAGTACTTGAGCACTTTTCAATATTTCTCCCAGAAACATTTTTGTGAGGTAGGGAAGTGCTACTATCCCCATTTTTAGACAGGGAACTGAGATACTGAGGGGTCAAAAATCACATATTTAGCGGACCAGTCACTTAAAACAGGGTCCCACTCCTTGCTCCTGCTCCTGCTCTGCCACTGAATCATCCTACTCCTCTGTACCCCTCTTGAGTATTAGTACCAGTATATATTTCTCTAACATGAAGCCTTCCCTGGGAAGCATTGCTAGGAGTATGTGTAGTTCTCCATGAGTGCTGCCTCATTCCTCACAGATAATCCACTATGGGTCTCACAGGCTGCTTGACTGCATGGAGAATGGCACCTCCACCTCTCTGCTGTGCTCTTGTCACAGCTGGGCTCCAGCTCAGACCAGTAACAGCAACCCACGCTTCCCTTCCTGCTGCAAGACTTGTAACTGCTTTCTTCTACCAATGTCCTGAGGCAGACTGATCCCAGGGCCACTGACCTGTTTTTCTCTCTGCTTTGGTTCCTAAGATCTGTTGCCATTGGTTGACAATGTTTCACCTATTTTATAACTACCAGCATTGAGGTCATGCTTTCCTTTTCTTACAGGGACTTGCCCTCCCTCACAGCCAAGTAGCAGATAACTTGCTCTCACATGCCACAGACTTGCTTTCACTATAAGAACATCTGCCTTCCTTTGGAGCAGAGACATCCTTTTTAAAGAAAGAACTATATACACCCTTAAATACAATATCAAAACCTTAAAATAATCTCATGTAAATAAATAGAACACAAACATCACAATTTGCAGTCTGGAGAGGTTTCTTCAAAAGAGATAACAAATTCTGGCCCTGCTATTTCACCCTAGGATGATGAACCATCCATACATTCTGTCATATCTGAAGCTGCTTCTTCTACAGCCTTTCCAGATGTACCTTGGTAATAGGACTGTACTCTATTGGAAATTGGCAGCTGCTGGACTTTTTAGGGTACCCCAGTCCTTGTACCACTCATGGATTCGTAACTTGTTTACAGACCAGGTTCAGTCAGCACCAGGTATTTCATCAGCCTTCCAATCCACTTCTTTTTGCTGCTTTGGGGAAGCAGAGTTGGGCAGATGGCTGGGGAAACATGGGTCTGAGGAACATCCACCTACCCAAGCCTTCAGGTTCTGAGATCTGCTGCTGTGTCCATCATAGTCCATGTGTCCATCATAACTTCCAACTTGATTCAGGTGTCCACTGTCAGTTGGTGGGGTGTGTGTGTGTGTGTGTGTGTGTGTAATCCTTAGCTTCCTATCAGGAAGGAGTTTGTGTTCAGATATAGATAAAGCACACGAGATGTGTGCACCTGAGTGCACCAGCACCACAAATTTTACCATAGCAACAGGTAGCAGTGCTAATGGTCACAATTAATAATGTAATGTCTCCAAACCCATTTTTAGTATGAGCCAAACACTGTTTCAGCTGGATGGTCTCTGGATCTCAGCAGTGGTTTTAGCACCCAAGTTGAGTCCCCTTGTGCATGGGGAAAGCTCTGTTCTGGACTCAAGAAGGTCACAGACTTCATCCATTGCCCTGGTGCAGGTCTCGAGGTTGGCAGCCAGCTTCTGGATTTTGGCCTTCAGCACAGCCTGGCTTACTTTTGTGACCTCCTTTGTGTATTCTGGCACGAGGAAGCTGTGGGAGCCGCAGAAGACCATGAAGCAGACAGAGTTGTACAGTGAGATGGAGGCCCTCTTCTCTGACTGGCACAGTGTAGGGTCTCCCGGGCCCTGCCCCCGGCGAAGGAACTCCAGGCAGCCAAGGATTTCCCTCATCTGTTTCCGACAAGTCATTGCAATTTCCTGCACCTTCCTCACCTCCCGGGAGTTGCAGAGCACTAAGGAGAGGTCGGACGTGATGCTGATGGCCCCCCCAGCAGTGGCCAGGCCCAGACCCACAGCTGATGCCAGGAGAGAGGCTCCCAGCGTCACTGGGCTCAGGGACAGCCCCAGGATGGCTGTGGCAGCTCCTGCGGCGGTCAGGGTGCTCCCGCTGACATTGGCAATCAGGGACCTCTTGCGGAGCTTGTTGAGTTTATGAGCTGCCTTGTGAAGGTGAGCGATTTGGCCACGTAGCCTCCGCCTCTGATCCAGCAGTGCTATGTGGAAGTGATGTGTGGGGTCTAGCGCTTGCGGAAAGGCAGCACTGTTTCTCTCCATGGCTTCTGTCCAGAAAAAGAGAAGTCTGGGTTGTGATTTTTGTCAAAAAAACCCCATAAGACATGCTCAGTCTGGACTATCATTTCAGGGATGGCATCCAGCCAAATTTTTGTTGCTTCACCCAGCTACAAGAAAGGTTTTCCATCTGCACACACATGCACACTCACGTACACACATGCACACTCACATACACACACGTGGTCATGTGCACATGCACATTTAATTACACATTCCATTGTAACTTTCAGACAGAGAAACTTCTATATGTTTTTCTTGTTCCCTGTGAAGACTAAAATATCTTAAGGGCTGGGGTCAGAGGTGCTATTGCCATTACCTGTGTGAAGACACAAAACATCTTTTCCAACCCTGGGGACTGAAATTCCCTTGAGATTAAGTGACTCAGTGCCCAGAGTAGTGATGCTGCCAGAACTAATGTGTTGCCCTGTGATGGGATTCAGAGGATCTGCAATATACAAAGGCATCTTTTAAAAGAAAGGTCAGGCTCTAAGGAGGTAAAAGCCACCATCCCAGGTTTTTATTTAGGGGTGATTTTCCATTAAAGGAGGACAGAGGGAAGTTGCTGACTGGAGTCAAGGTCTGGCTTTTCCATATCGGAGGTAAGCAGCTCACTGATGCCTTGGATGGGTATTGTGAACATCCTTCCTTTCTTTAAGTCTAAATAACTCAAGGTCCTGCAGCATTTTTTTTTCTATTGTAACCTGGCGTCAGGGTCTGGACAAATATGGGAATCATTGTTCTTTGGTGCTTAGTCCGACTTGTGATCATGAATCTCCAGTGACAGCGGCAGAGAGGCCTATGAACCTTGTTTAAAAGGTTCATGAAGAGCACATCGGAAAAGCAGGCCTAATTTTAGTGTACACTCCCTTGAGGATGGGGGAGTGGGAAGTGCAGGGGCCTGTGAATAGAAAAGGCTTGAAAACTGCTGGCAAACCTCCACTGGCAAGATAGCAGGAGATTGTCATGCCTTCTAGAAGGTGAATTTTCATAGTTTCTGTACTAGGTGGTGTCTGTTTGCTGTCTTTGTTCTTTGTCATAAGGGCAGAAAGGAATGTTCCAATAAGCATTTTCAGGTTACTTTAGGACTGCAAAATGCTTTACAAAGGAAGCTAGCATCCTTAACCCTGCTTAGAGGGAAACTGAGACAAGGGAGTCAACAGGAGTGATGTAGCACCAGTTGTCTGGTGGGAGCAGAGCTTCTGTGCTTCACAACACTGCATTGTGCACAGAGCTATGCTGCCTCTGCACCTTGCAAGGTCTAGCCATAGGGCTAAAAAGCTCTTTGCAGTCCGTAATGCCCTTATAACCAAAGAAGTTTCTGTAGCAGAAAGACCCTGACCTAGAGCCAACTGAGCAAAACTGTTCATTGCTGCAGTCACTTTTTCACTTCTAAGTCTTCTGTACTGTGTGAATTGGAGGTATCTGGTCTGTCACAAAATTTTACTATATAGTTTGGATCCTTGGGGTTTCATTCTGCAGAATCCCAGTGTTTCAGGAGGAGAAAACTTTGTGCCATAAATACTTTCCATCCTGAAGTGTATGAGTATATAATTCTCACTGCAATTTTTCACCCTTCTACTTGCTTGTCCTAATCCATCTTACACAGAATCCTTTAAGGCTTTCCCCCATGCCCTTCGGAAAACGACCCCAGTCTCTCTTGGTATCATTGGGCCATTTGAGTCACTTGGTACATTGTGCTTTTCTTAGCTGGGGGCAGTATCCTATTATTTTTACACATGGTAAGAGATAAAGCTGAACGCACAATGACTAACACTAATTTAAATGGATACCAGCAATAAAATGAACAATGAGCGTATCACCAATAACATAACAACAGATCAATATGATGATCATTAAATATATCAATTCCTGTAGCCTCTTAACAATTTGTTCTGAAAATTTAATTGCTAAGAACTCTGTCAGGTAACAGCAGCAACCATCTCACTGCATTAGTAGAACAGTCATTCAATATAGACCATAAACCATGTAGTGATGCATATCTTTTGAATACACTAATTTATGCCAGCACAAAGGAAAATAAAAGCAACTCCAGGTCTTAGAGAAAAATCTCCCCAATAATAAAGGTATATATTAGTCCAAAACCTGCAAACGCTTTCTTAATACAGTACTCGGAGAGACTCCAAAAATTACTAGTTCAAACTTACCTTCAGTTTCCAGCTGACCTCCCAAAAGAGAAATTTTGATCTGTTTCTGGAGGAGACCAATTTATAGCTCCCACGGACCAATTGCTGCAACAGGAATGCTTTGCCTCATACTGGGAGTTTGCCATTTCCTGTTCTCCCTTGTGCAGAAGGATGTGACACACTGGAAAGTGACCTGCAGGACAGCGAGCACACATCATGTTCAGGAAATGATCCCTGCGAATGAACATTGTGTGTTCGCTTTTCCTGAAGTGTAAGGGAAAAAAAAAATAATAAAATCTCAGCCTATTCCTGGCACTGAGCTAGTGCAGTCATTCCCTGCAGAGAACTGTTGCCTTTCCTCTCCCTGAAATAGCAACTGACTTTACTCTGTGCTGGAGCCGCCAATTGCTTGATGACTGAAGTTTCCCCCCACCACGCGTCTAGAGCCAGTGGGGCTATCAGCCAGCCAGCTACTCCATTCAAGGCCAGTGTACTTTTAAAATCCAAGCTCTTTGAGACAACTGTGTGTGTGACTGGCTGGAGCACAGCAGTCACTCCATAAAAGGGAAGCAGTTCCACAGCAAGACTGTTGCTCTAAATTCCCATCCCTTCTTCTTCTCAGAAGACAAAAACATGCAGCATCCTGCAAAAGGAGTGATCTCCCTGTGGTTTTACTCTGTTTCTTAACCATAGGGCCGGTTTTAATCAAAGAAAGATTTTTGGATGGAGTCAGGAAGAAAAGCTTTTTGGATGGCACTAAGTGGTGCAGCCCTCCTTAGACCAGAGTGGTATGTGTCTATTGACACAGGGCCTGTGGTGCTGGGGGACTGTGGTACTGGCGACATTTCATTTGTGCTTGAAGATGGGATCCTTGGCGGATTCTTACTTTTCAGGACTGCTGTTAACAGGGAACCTTTGGCTGTGCCCTAGGGTTCCCCTAACCTGTCTAATCTGAAAACTATGTAGCTGTCACTGAGTGGTGAGGATTTACTGTTGAATTTGTGAGATGCATAGCTGGAGCTGACCTTAAAAAGGGACAAGAACTGAGAGGCTACAGGCAGGGAGACGAGAAGGCTGGGATTATTAATTTCAATGGCATCTTGGTTTTTGATTGTCTTAAAATAACTGAGAAACAGTATGTCAAGTATTTTGTCAGGGAGGACCTGCAGGAGATGAGATACGAATGAAAAAATAAATAGCATTGGAGAGTGACCTCAACCTGTCACAGACATGAAAAAAAAAAGCATTGTTTTGAAGGTGCTTAAATATGCAATATTGGTCTGTTACAATTTGTACCTACTGCAGGTTAACAGGAAGGTGAGTTTGACACTTTGAAGGAAGCTGTACTTTAGCCCTGCCCTTTGTTTTAGCAAGCGTATGCTTGAATTGGAGCCCATCTGCCTTGGCAAGGGTTTGCAGTTGATAGACATGAATGTTCTTTCACACATTCCCAAATAGAATATGGCTTTTTTTTTTTCCATGTAACTGCCTCTGTATTAGAATCTGTGCCTTCAGATATGTCCTTGTTAGGACAGTGAGTTTTGGTAAAAATGAAATAATGAAAAAAAGGAAAAAAAAGGTTTAGAATGAGCCTAAGATGATGACAGTTTTGGATCCTCTCCTTCCTTTCCCAGTGCTCCTCTTTCAATATACTCAGCTGCAAAATTTTGCCAGAAACCCCTGCGATGCTCAGTGTGTGGGCAAGGACCTGATTAGAGTGCAGAAGAGACAATTCATTTTTTTAGAGTATTCCCTCACAGAGTTTTCTGCCCACTGAAAGATCTGCACCTCACTCAAGACAAGATGTTGGTCTCAGCCTAGTATGGTTTATCACAGGAATCATCCTGGGCTTCTTCACCATCTAAAGAGAATGTTTACACATAATCCACCCCTACAATGAGGTGCATATCCAGAAAGTAAGGATTTCACATGAGGAGCTACGTATATCAACTTCATTTTAAAAAAGAAATGTGTATTATAATAAGAAACTTTATTTCCTAGGGAGTTGCCCCACTGCAATGCTTTGTGATCTGTTCTCGTGCCTGCTGACACTCATAAACATCCCTTTGGTGAGAGTGCCGGTCTTCTCTCCCACTGATAATTAAAGAGACCTGCTCCAGCAAAGGTGAGCAGGCGGGAATGGGAGCAGGATGGGAAAGAAGCATCTTCTCTGAGCACCTCCCAAGGACTGAAAGGCTTTTAGTGCCATTTGTGCACTTGTCTAGATGTGAGCACATGTGCTGGGTCACCAGTAGGTCCCAGGGGCCTGCTTGGAGTGAATCTTAGCTTATCAGGGATCTCAAGACTAGTGGTCTTGAGAAGGTAGGTCTGACCTTCACTGCACAGTCCTGCAAGCTGGTAGAAGCCTCACCATCCTGCCTGCTGTACACTGTCACCCAGACCCTCTGCTGATGCTTTGTTCTTGACCTGGGAAGCACTTGGACTTGGTGGTGGAAGGGGCACAGTAGGTGGTTCACAACTCTGGCCAAAATTTGTACCTCTGCTCCACCCTTTCCCATCTAGCCACATCCTCTTGAAATCCATGAGGATATTTTGTGGGAGCAGGTGATCAGAAAAGGGAAGGAAGGATGTTTTATTGCCTCAGCTCTTTTCCTTTCAGTGGATTTTGGCAGAAAGGACTGGTCTTTATGCTCTTTTTCTCTCCAACAGAAGGGATATATTGCAGAAGTGTTTGATCTGAAGCTGTTTGGAGCAACTGCAATGTAACATTTGAATGCAAATGTGAAACATTTGAAGCTGGAGTTTCAAATATACACTTCTTTTATTAACATTGTTTTGATCAAATAATTGAGAAAATTTGAGTAAATTTACATTTAAATACCATCTTTTTAACAGGGGATTTTTGTAATTTTTGATGCTTTCAACCTTAACTGCTGCATCCTGGAGCTAAAAGCTGTGGTTTTTTTTTTCTCTTTTATTTTCTTTTTCAAATGAAACAAAGACAAATTTTAACTCATCATAGCAATATATTAATTCATATTCAGTGGAAATTTGAATAGGCCTAAACTTAAACAAAGAAAGCAAACTGGAACTAAAAGGGCTGACTCAGCTTTTAGTAACCTTACCAGTGGATCCAAATTAATTTTTTGAAAGCATTCCAGAATGAGACAGGCTGCTCTGGGGGCTGATCACTGGTGTATGTGGGACTTGTTTGAAGAAAGCTGCAAAGAGCAGAGCAGGGTGAGGGGAACAAAAAAAACCCGTGGGATGGGAACACCTCTTATTAGTTCCATTAAAGTAGAAAATTAGTCAAGTGCATTGACTGTGCCTGCTTTGTAAGCAAGCATTCATGTAACAAAAATACCATCCTAAATTGTCTTGTCAAAACACTGCCAGCAGTGTTTGCAGAGATCAAGTATTTATTTGGACATGGAGACTGAATTTCTGCAATGGACTTAAACAGACCAGCTTATGCTGCCATTTGTCACCTTTAATTATATGTTTCAGTGCAGGCTATATGGCATAAGACTTACTTTCTCTGATGCACAACTTCCCACTTAGCCCATATGCCTCCAGCCTTGCCTGTGGCACAGCTGACCGATAAGTCAGTGCAGCCATACGCAGGTTCTACTGAGACCAGTGCTGCTAGAGGACTTTTCTCTGTTCAGTGTCTTAGCAGTGACAGCAACAGCATCACAATAAGCAAGTCTGACTACCCATTCCCTCAAGGACTACAGAAAATAGAGAATCATTACCATATTTTCAGAATTGCAAAGAAACATAGTAGGCTGGTGAAAAGTAGAAATTAGGTAACCTGGTTTCTTGTGTCTTCTTTCCTGTGGACTTCTTGATGCCTGGAGCTCACATTGCAACATTTCTCTTGAAAGAAAAAACCTGGATTTTTCTCACCTACTAAACTATTTATAGTCACAAAACTCATAAGAAGTAAGTGCCTTTAAAACCTTGGCTGCTTTGTTAAATTCTGGCTGAGATTGCCTGGGAAGCTCAAAAGATACTGCTTGACAAAGCTACCAACAGCCCTGCTCTGTATCCCTCATTTCTGTAGGGAGCCAGGCTAGAATGATCCCTGTGTCCTGCAAATGAACACGAACCACACGTGTCTATGGTTTCTTATTCCCCTTTGCCAAGTTTGAATCTCGCAGTGTTTAGCCAAACTGGTTTCATATACAGGTCTGCAGTCTTCCTCCTGCCAGGGAGTGTTGATGTCCTCTGGTGCAGGAGGATGAGCTGCTGGTGAGGGAGCCTTCGGTGGCATTTCTGTATCTTGTACTGGTGGATCTGGGCAGTGCCCACAGGACCCTGGTTTGAACGGGAAAGAAAAGCAGCTCAGCTGGGAAGCATGCCACCAAAAACATGTCTTCACCGAGAAAACAAATGGGCCGGAAACACTCAGGTGTAAATCCCCAAAACTGGTCTTGGAAGCCTTGGGATAAGAGGTTACTGGATACATACAGTATTTATTAGCTAGGAAACGAGAGTGTGTGTTTCCATCAGGCAGCACAGGACCAAGTTTTTACCTGGCTCTTCTATTTGCCTGTTACAAGTGGCAGGTTGCTGTTCAGGTTATTGATCTCTAACAGAGACATTCTTGCTATCTCTTTCTTCTGAGTTCTTGTTCTCAGTTGCTTTGATATGGCTCTTGGTGAGGTAACAAGTGTCAGATTTGGGGTCACCTAGAAAAACTCTAAACTTGAAGGCACCAATCAACAATTCACTAATCAGCTGTGGTGGAGGGAAGGGCTAGAAAAATGTACCTTTTCCAAGAAAATTGGATTTGGCACCATCTGATATTTGCACAGTGGAAAATTCCTGATCCTGTCTCTACACCTGTCACTGGCCAAGGCCAGAAAGCTGCAGTGACTGCGTTCGCCTCACATTCCCATGTATTTCCCTGCCAGCTACCTGGGCAGTGGCTGGGTGATGCTATTTCAAATCTGCTAAAAAAGCATCTGCTCTGATAGTGAACCAAAGATGTAAAAAAACCCCCTAAAAATAATGAGATGATATGGGATCTTAGTGCACTGACATTGTCTGAGATAAATTTTGTAAAGAAAACTTAAC